TTTAAAGGGAAGTGAGATCAAGTCATGGAGGTTGGGTCCATGGAGTAGTCTTAGCCAGGGGGTAGGAGTGGTGTCCCTGCCCAAAGTTTGTGGAACGCTGGAGAGGGATGGCACGAGACAAATGGCTTGGTCACTGTCTTCGGTCCATCCCCTCCAGGGTCCCTAGGGTTGGCCGCTGTTGGCAGACAAGCTACTGGGCTAGATGGACCTTTGGTCTGACCCAGTACGGCCATTCCTAGCTCAGGACTCAGGGTTGGGGGTCTCACTGGACCAACTTGATTTTCATGCAAACCTGCTCCTGGGTGGCCAGGCTGGCAGCTATCGTGCCCTAGACGGCCAATTTCCTGTGCCTAGTGTGGAGGTCGTGGATGAGGTCCACGATGTCCGCACTAGACCAGGTGGGAGCCCGCCTCTTGCAGACCTGGGCAGGCTCCCGGGAGCCGCCAGCCTGGTCCCAGGAAAAGGCGGAGGGCTGGGTGACAGCAGGTGGCTGGCTCGAGCTGTGCCAGGTGCAGGGTCTGCTGGCTGGGTGCTGGCAGGCTTCCACCTGGCACGGGCACCGTAGCCAGCCCGTGCCCCTTTAAGGGGTCCGGGGTCGGGAGGGGGGCATAGAGTTTCCCTGGTGTTGGCCAGAGTGGCCACCAGGGAAAGCTGGGGAGGGCTAGCCTCCCACTAGTTCGAATTAAGGGGCTACACACCCCTTAATTCGAACTAGTAAGTTCGAACTAGGCTTAATCCTCGTAAAATGAGGTTTTCCTAGTTCAAACTAAGCGCTCCGCTAGTTCGATTCAAATTCGAACTAGCGGAGTGCTAGTGTAGCCGCTATGAATGTTAGTTCGAACTAACATTGTAGTGTAGACATACCCTCTCTGACTTCATTTACATTAGTTCTGTCCAAGATAAACCACACCATGTGAATGAGTGGAAATGTATAAACTTAAAAAACAACTAATGGTCTGGTAGCACTTTAAAGATTAACAAAACATGTAGATGGTATCATGAGTTTTCGTGGGCACAGCCCACTTCTTCAGATGACGGGAGTTTGTGCACAATTGTATGTGCACACTGCAATTAGACACCCAGGGCTGGCCCGTGCCACCTGACCCATGCTCATGGGGTTTGAGCTAAGGGCCTGTTTAATTGCAGAGTAGACATTGAGGCCTAGTTTGGAGTCCAGACTCCAGAACTTATGAGATGAGAGGGCTAGGGGTAGGAGAAACAGAGCCTAGGCTTTAATCTAAGTCTAAATGTTTACACCGCAATTTGACTGCCCCCCCAACCCAAATCCAGCCATACTGAGTCTGGTAGCGTGGGCCAGTTGCAGGTGTCTAACTGCAATACCGGCATACCCAGTGAGGCCAGAAAAGAGAGCAAATACAATATGAGGATCATTGACCCAGGTCCACAACCTCTCACTCAGCTTTACTAAGCTCTAAAATTCCTTTTATATCGGGTGTGGCTAACACAGAGCTCCGGGACTAGAACTGGCCCAGCTGCGGTTTCATGTGGAACCATACAATTCAATTCTTCAGAATTTGATTTTTCATTTAAAAGAAGTTTCTGGCATTGTAACTGCAAAGACAGCTTTCCAAATATGAAATTGTGTTGTCCTGACTCTGCAGACTGCCTTAAACAACAGCTCAGAGGTGTGAAATTTTCTGCCTCAGATTCATTTAACTGAGAATGGAACTCTAAGCCTAATGGTGACACTTCAAAATGTGAGCCATTTCACCAACTATTCAGTAGCTGATCATTTTAGCAGATGGAATGGAAGCATATGTACTGAAACTAGGGGTATGAGAGATGCTACAGCACCCCTTAGCCTGAAGAAGTTTCCACTATGTACAGGGTTACAGTTTCATTCAGTGGTTCTCAGCACTCCCATATACAAATTGTTCCAGCACCTCTGAGTGGGTGAAGGAGTAGGAGAGAAGTGGCAGGCTGAATCTTTTAGCCTGTAAATTTTTAGAGCAGAAACTGTCAGGGACCGGTTGCAGCTATACAGAAAAGTAAGACAATCTGCAGTGGCCCTGTGCAGCTCCCTGCATATTGGGTGCAGAGGTAAACAGGAGAATAGACTGAATACTGTATTCTATATGCACACCCCTGGGGTAAAAAAGGTAGTAGGAAAGAATAGCACCTGCAACTGGATAGCCAGCAGAGCTAAGGGCTGGCCTATACTGAAAGCTTGCGTTAGCATAGCTACCTCTTTCAGGTGTGAAAAATCCACACTGCAACACACGTGGCAAAGCTGGGATAGACAAAAGAACCCTTCCGTCAACCTAGCTTCTGCTTCTCAAGGAGCTAAAGTAACTGTGTGAGAATCTCTCCTGTGAAATGCAGAACCTCTGCTGATATGACGTTTTAAGTGTAGACATAGTTTTAATCAATACCAGGGGATGAGAGCAAGCCTGGAAGTAGTTAGTAGCAAGTTACTCCTCCCGTCTCTACCTCCCATCTACAGGAGCAAGAGGAGACAGGGGCTCTTCCTGGATGGTACACACACATAAAACCCAGTAGTCAGGGTATCAGGCAAAGCCGCAATAATTCAGTTGCTGCATAAAGGGTTACACTACAAACTTTTGCTGACATAGCTTTGTTGGCCAAGAGCATGAGGAGATGTGACTTGTGACTGATAGCAGTGCTGGAAAAAGCCCCTATTACAATGAGTCTTCTAATGATAATAGCCCCCTCTTTTTTTTCTTTTCTTTTGGGGGGGGGGTCACTGGGATAAGATAGACTGGCAAAAACCCACTTTTGCTGTTATACCAGCAGCGCTTTCCATGTGTGAATGCAGCTACAGCATACTGGTAGCTATACTGGCAAAATGATCCCAGAATAGATCTGGCCAAAGCCTATAATCTACCCTTGACTTTTATATCAACCTCCCACAGGTAATTCTGTTGTGGATTGAGAGAAACACAAACTCTGAAACTTACTCTCTGACTTATAATTGAATATAGATTTCAGCCCACCTCACAGAACAGCTGTGTCTACACTGGCATGAATTTCCAGAAATGCTTAAAACAGAATAGTTTTCGTTATAAGTATTGTTGTACCAAATAAAAGCAAGCAGGATCTTATGAGGGGGATAAAACAAAAAGCCACGGTAAGATAATAGCCCCCTCTTTTTTTTCTTTTCTTTTGGGGGGGGGGTCACTGGGATAAGATAGACTGGCAAAAACCCACTTTTGCTGTTATACCAGCAGCGCTTTCCATGTGTGAATGCAGCTACAGCATACTGGTAGCTATACTGGCAAAATGATCCCAGAATAGATCTGGCCAAAGCCTATAATCTACCCTTGACTTTTATATCAACCTCCCACAGGTAATTCTGTTGTGGATTGAGAGAAACACAAACTCTGAAACTTACTCTCTGACTTATAATTGAATATAGATTTCAGCCCACCTCACAGAACAGCTGTGTCTACACTGGCATGAATTTCCAGAAATGCTTAAAACAGAATAGTTTTCGTTATAAGTATTTCTGGAAAAAGAGCGTCTACACTGGCAGGCTGCTTTTCTGGAAAAGCCCTTTTTCCGGAAAAGCATCTGTGGCCAATGTAGACGCGCTTTTCCGGAAAAGAGCCCCGATCGTCATTTTCGCGATCGGGGCTTTTTTCTGGAAAAGACTACTGGGCTGTCTACACTGGCCCTTTTCCGGAACAGTGTTCCGGAATAAGGACTTATGCCCAAGCGGGAGCAGAATAGTTTTTCCGGAATAGTGGCTGATTTTGTACAGTACAGTGTCATTGCTTTTCCGGAAATTCAAGGGCCAGTGTAGACAGCTTGCAGCTTATTCCGGGAAAGCGGCTGATTTTCCGGAATAAGTGGCCCAGTGTAGACACAGCCCACAAGTTTGAGTCCTCTGTATCAAAACAAGGCTGTAAAGCATATTATCCAGACAGACCTTCAGATTCTACAGATGCATCTCCCACCTGAAAATCCTTCTTCAAAGCTCCCCGCCACAGTGTACAATGTATCAAGCTTCCTATATGTAACATAGAGTAAGACACTGTTTCAACCTCTAGGTAAAATGGAGCAGACAGTTTATCAAGGGAGCTATGTTATGAGACAGGACTCTAGGACCTTTCTTACATCCAACATAATGAAGTTGGAGAAAGCAGTGTGAGACTTAATATCTCTGTGACTTCCCACCTCAGGAGGCCACAACAAAGCTGAGGACTTTTTTTCCAAAAGTATTTTACTATAAAAGTGAGTGAACAATATTCATAACTAAATCATGCACCAAGGGAACAAGAGGCTGCAAAATATTAAAGTAACTCTAGACTAGATTAGCATAGCTTTGATCTGCAAGAACAGTATTGGAATAAACTTTAACTTTGTACTAGGGTTTTTTTTAACCTCGCTGTAATTTCTTCTATTTTTGTGCGTGTGCCTAATCTTAATCTCAAATTCAGCATGCAAATCACCCCATGTGTATAACTCTAACCCAGATTTATACAGCACACACATCCTCTTTCTTCAAAGGCTGAGTGATCCAAGTCTAAGAACTACAGTCAAAGAATGCATTTTATTTTTTGGTTTAATGTTAGCAGCTAAAGTCAAAAGTTTGAAGTTCATACTGAATGTGTTCCATGTTATATTTTAAAAATTCAGATAATTAGCCCAAAAGCCTACTCTCATACTTACGTAATAACAAAAAATCCTTTGAGTTTTAAAAGACTGTCAAATTGCCATCACCAAATTCACAAATGAAGGTGATTTTTATTCCCTCCGATGACTAGCACATCCAGACAGTGACGATAATACTCACTTCTGTAGTTTTTCCATTTTCTATGTATCTGTTTGTCACTCAAACCAGCAAAACAAACCTAAGTTTAGAAAATATATAAAAAAGAAGCCTATGTTGCAGAAGGCACTCACGTGCTTTAGTTAGCACATTTGTAACGTATTTACATTTTAAATATTTTGCACAGGTTCCCTTCCCCCGCCCCCGCAACTTAAGCTGTTAAGGCTCTCTGCCCATTTTCTTCTAGGGCTGAGAACTATTCTCTTCATGAACTGCCTCGCGTCAGCCCAGACAGTCACAGCATTTCCCTTTTGCTAGAAAAGCAGCTCACTAGCGCTTCCTATAACACTGCTGCTCAGTCCAAGAGTCATGGAGCTGAGGTCATCCTGCCACATACCCATTAGCCTCCCTTCTGTGATACTCCAAAGTTTTACTTGCTCAGATGCAGCAAGCTACTGTCATGTCTGAGCCTGGCGCTGCTGCACACGAAAGTGCAAAATGCAAAGAGACTATGTAGGGCCATTCACAAGCCTTGCTCACATGGGTCAGATTTCAGTGGGCCTCCTCCCGTGCACCTGCAAACAGACTGAGTGCATGCATTTTGCATACTGAAAAACCCACAGCTGAACCATGAGTGCTAAGACACAACAGAAAAGGCGACTCAGACTGGTAAGCATCAGAAAAAGCATTGTAAAGGAAGCACTTTGAATTGGAAAATGGCTGCATGCGTTGGCATTTTACATTTAAAATTGTGCTTATTTGGTAGAATGGAAAATTGCAAACATTATACAATAGCAGCTATTGCCCTGTATGTACATAATAATCGAGCCACATAATTCATCTCTAGTAGCTATTAGTAGGAAGCCAAGTGTAAAAGAAATAGTTTATGAGCTAGCCCTTTTACTAAGGATTTATGGTTGAGTGTGACCTTCAGTTAGCAAAGCTAATGGGATTCATCCCATTGAAGGAATTGGAGTTGTCCAAATCCTTATTTTGAAGCCTTAAAATTCTTTGTCTTTTTGTTTCTTCTGTATTCATTTTGAAGAGAGTGTAATTTAACATGTGAGATAGTGTTCCCTTCCTGTAATGGGCTCATCCATTTAAAGAAAGGAAAGCAGCCGTACAAGCTTTTTTTATTATTTTTTAATTAAATTATTTCCCTTGAAACTAAATAGTAATGGCTCCAAGTACAAAAATCAAAATGACCAGCATCAACAAAATAAGGGAGTGAAGGGCTCACCAAAGAATACAAATAGAAAGAAGAGATGATACAGCCAAAACTCCCAGTGAAGCCAGTAAACACACGCCTGACTATACGTGATATGCTCCACTCAGTATTTATGGTTTTGCTAAATATTCCACAGTTGCAGTGATGTTAACATCTTAATATATTTTATTATTGATTCCAAAATATCTCATAAATGCCGAATTCTGTAATCCCACGTAAGGATTTTATATGTAGGGGAGGAAAGAAAAGAAAAACAGAAAAATTAAATGAAGGGCAGAGATATCAAGAACTTATTGTTACATCAAAGACAAAGACAACCTGTAATCTTCTCTGTTACTTAGTGCTACGACGTACATCCTGAGTAACATTCAATCTTAAGGTCAGAGTTTTCATAATTACAGACTATGATACTTCATACTATTCTTAGCTACTCAGAAATAATATTATATAGATTATATAGACTAAAATATAGATGTGTTTGAGGATTTATTAGTCATTGTTTGTGTCTGTCAGTTTATAACTTCTCCCATTAACAAATACTGATAACTTTTGAAGGATTTCACATGGTAAAACAGTGGTAATTTCACTGATTGGAAAGAAAATCTAGAAAACAATAATTTTTCCTAAAAATCAGTAGCCTGTGTACCTCTCAGAAATACAACATGCTGTTTTAGAGTACGTCTACACTGCAACACTATTTTGAAATTACTAGCACTATTCCAAAATAATTTAGTCCGTGTCTACACAGTGGGCAGTTATTTCGAAATAGTGGCAAAATTCTGTCAAGCTAGAGGACTTCTTACTCTGACTTTTGTAACCATCATTGTACAAGTAATAAGGAAAGTCAGAGGAAGAGTGCTCTATTTTGAAATAAGTGCTGTTTAGACACTCTCTATTTCGAAATAAGCTATTTCTAAATAAGATACGTAATTGGCATAGCTCAGTTAGCGTAGCTTATTTCAAGTTAAGCCCTACAGCGTAGACTCACCCTTACTAAGAGGATTAAAATAGTCTTCCAGCTCCCATAAAAATTTAAATTCCAAGATTTTCGTTAAGAGCAGAGTTTTAAACTTTTTTTTTTTCAGATAAGATTTCTACTAGTGAATTATGTTGAATATTTCACAGGCTTTCTCTGTAAGAGCAAAATGACTGGAATTATTAACAGAACATTCATTTGTATTGCACACTTACAGCGCAAAAGAAGAATAAAATTTTGCATTTATATAGAACCTTTTATCCCAAGAGGCTTTCCAAACCTAGTCACAGGCTGTACACATTAAACACCACTGAAATGTACAATGCCTTCTGATTCGGGGGAAACTTTCAGTGAAGCCAGTGGGAGGTTTAAATGATTGGCATGCAGAATATGGCCCATGGAACTTGTGACTGCCAGCTGGAAAGTACAAAGTATTACAAAGATTTTTAGAGTGCTTTGGTTTGGATATTGCAGCAAACCAAAGATTTCTGACTTACTGCTATAATTTATAGTATTATTTGCAACTAGATTTTATATGGCTCTTCTCAAATAGCTGTTTGCAAGCTACTCCTGTTTTTAAAAGATGATAGAATTGGATCCTTTGAATAGAGTAGAAAAAGGATTCCAACTGTAAACTGTGGATGAATATACTGGAGGGGGAAAAGGTGAATTGCTATTTGTTTATCAAGCCAGTTTCCTGCAAGTCAAAAGGACAATTTGTATTATTATTTGCGTTGTGGTCCTGACTCCATCACGCTAAGCACATTACAACCGATGGCTTCTGCCCCTAGGGGCTTACAGTGTAACAAAACCTACAATGTGAGATTCTATGCTGCCTCAGAGGCCAGGGGGAGAAAGTCAACTTAAGATACACAACTCCAGCTATATGATAGCATAGCTGGGACAACATACCTTAGGTCATATATCTGCCGCGTCTTGGTCGATGGGTGAAACTCTCCCGTCAACTTCCCTTATTTCTCATGACTCGGTGAAGTACTGGAGTAGATGGGGGTACCATCAGTGTTTGATTTAGTGGGTCTAGTAAGGACCCACTAAATCAAAGCTTGGAGATCAATCTCCTCAGGGTCGATCTCCCAGTAAATGGAGACAAGCACCGAGGGTATGTCTACACTACCCCCCTAGTTCGAACTAGGGGGGTAATGTATGCATACCGAACTTGCTAATGAAGCCCGGGATTTGAATTTCCCGGGCTTCATTAGCATAAAGCCGGCACCGCCATTTTTAAAAGCCGGCTAGTGCGAACCCTGTGCCGCGCGGCTACACGCGGCACGGGATAGATAGTTCGGATTAGGCTTCTAATCCGAACTATCTGTATGCCTCGTGGAACGAGGTGTACAGATAGTTCGGATTAGGAAGGATGCAAGGATGCAACCAGGACATTTGGCCTAGGTCAACTGACTTGTTCTTGCTCATGGAGCCAGAGGGAGCTGGGGGAGCCTGAACGTCTATATTGCTGTTTCATAGTCCCTGGCTACGTCTACACTGGCCCCTTTTCCGGAAGGGGCATGTTAATTTCAGCTATCGTAGTAGGGAAATCCGCGGGGGATTTAAATATCCCCCGCGGCATTTAAATAAAAATGTCCGCCGCTTTTTTCCGGCTTTTAGAAAAGCCGGAAAAGAGCGTCTACACTGGCCCCGATCCTCCGGAAAAAGCGCCCTTTTCCGGAGGCTCTTATTCCTACTTCAAAGTAGGAATAAGAGCCTCCGGAAAAGGGCGCTTTTTCCGGAGGATCGGGGCCAGTGTAGACGCTCTTTTCCGGCTTTTCTACAAGCCGGAAAAAAGCGGCGGACATTTTTATTTAAATGCCGCGGGGGATATTTAAATCCCCCGCGGATTTCCCTACTACGATAGCTGAAATTAACATGCCCCTTCCGGAAAAGGGGCCAGTGTAGATGAGCCCCCTCAGTTTGAGCCCCCAGAATCCAAGTCAGCTGACCTGAGCTCAGAATTGGTGCTGTAGTTTTTAATCACATTCTGAGCATCTCCTGTGAGCCCCTTTACGCCACTCCAGCCTTTTTACCCAGCTAAAACTGACAAAACAGAGCCTCAAGCTCCACCTTGAATTGTGACTTGAATCCTCCACCAAGATAGCTACACTGTCTATTTAAACATAGCTGATCAGCTTTAATCATAAATAGTTACTATGCATGGTCTCTGCATAAACAGTTTGGGCTAATACACTCAGCCCATACTTGCACCAATAAACATGCATACAACATCCAGTCATTATTCATTGTCTCCACGTAGGAGCTGGCCTGTCCCATAACAGTTAACCATATAAAAGGTCAGAGAGGTTTCTCCAATCTTTACTTCAGTTCCAAAGCTCAGCCTTCAGGTCTCTTCAATCTTTACTTCAGTTCAAAAGTCACTTAGGAGAGCTCCATAAAAAAGCTTTGATAGTCTGAAAAGGCCAAGATAATCATAAGCTTTGTCCAAATGGGCAAACAGAAAAATAGGGCAGGAGCCATTGAATAAAGCATTTCTTAAAGTGAAATCTAAGAAATCCAATGGAGTTTAAATGCATCGCTCTTTCTCTCAATAAATATTTCAAAACAGCACACAGGGTCTGGCTTCAAGATGTTTCTACTCTCACAGCTTCCATTTTGCGTGTTAAATTCCTTCAAATGATTTAGTAGTCTTAAAACATGATCAATGGGCAATTAATTATTACATGCCATTGTGACAGAGCATGGGATAAAGCAAATGTCTTATTTCAAATCACATTTCCTTTCAACTCTTAAAGCTAGGCAAGCTCCCTCCAGAAAAAGAAGTATATTTAGCCAGAAATTGAAAGCAACTGTTTTACTGATCACAGAACTGGGGCTGAGTAATTGTGCACAACTAAGGCGGTGTCTTTCCTGAATCTTTGTTTTTCTTTTTTGAGGGAAACAGAAAGCTTCCTGGCACCACCAGATGCTGTAGTACTAATGCATAAAGAAGGGTCCTGTTCTAGCCAAACACAATACAACCGAAATGTCAGAAAAGCAGCAGGACTGTTTACCAAAATGTTTGTTGATCTATGGAGTATAGTAAGCAGCATTGTTATTTGCAAGATGGCAAGTTAACAAAGTTTGAATTGTATGTAAGAAGAGTTAAAACAAATCCCTAAACTTCCTGCATATTGTGAAGGAAAAATAACATACTTATAAGCTTTAATGAGATGCCTCCTCTTCCTCCA